CCAACAACCAGGAAGAGTGAAGTGCGACGAAGAGAACAGAGACCACAAGGCCTTGCAAAGAGAGAGAAAGGGGCTGCGATGGTCGATGATGACCTAGGGCTTCAACGCAACCAGATGAGACACGCAACCTAGGGCTCAGAACCAACAACCAGGAAGAGTGAAGTGCGACGAAGAGAACAGAGACCACAAGGCCTTGCAAAGAGAGAAATCCTATTTGAAAGAGGAGAAATTTATTTAGTTTCACAATTTTTTGAATACTTTCAAAAGTTCACTATATATTTTTCTTCTTCATTCTTTTCTGTGTCTTCGTTCTTCTTTGCCTCTTTCTCTTCTTCATTTTTGGCGACCGACGACAGACGATCGACCACCGACAACCACACCTTATTTCTTCTCTTTCTCTTTTTGATTTATAGTCACCGTCGACCGACAACCACCATTGATTGGGATTCATCAGCAACCACCAACCATCGATGTCTTATTTCACCCTCACCAACGGTGAAAGAGACGAGTTTCCAACAAAGAAGATGAGTAGATCTACTCTAAGTAGATCTATATGAAATTCGACTAGATCTAAACAAAAAATAATTGCTAGAGTATAATCTTCTCTATATTGTTTCTCTCCTTTGATCTCTTAATTTTTTTTACCTTTTCTCTATTACGCATTTCTATTTTCCTATTTTAATGGAGAAAATTTTCAAATTCTGAATAAGTTATTTTCAAGTTTTAATTACAAGCAGTGAAAACTGTAAAATTTTACAATTTTAATTTTTTTGGTGCTAAAATAAATCATACTTTAAAACTGTTAAATTTTACAATTTCATAACATTATTTAGAATTGTAAAATTTTACTGTTTTATAACATGTTTTTCGGTTTGATTAATAAGGATAAAATGCTTAATAGAATCATGCTTTGAAACTGTAACATTTTACAGTTTTAAAGCTTATTTTTCAGTTTGATCAATATTGGAGTTTATTTACTTAAATCCTACAAAAATTGAAAAATATATGTTTTTTCCCATTGTTGCTGTTTGTTGTTGTTATGTTTTTTTTTTCCTTTTAGTTTATCAATATTTAGCATATTTTGTTATATTTTTTCGTCTAACAAAAGTTCGGCGATGATGGAATATAGTAGCGTTTTTTTTTTAAAAAAAAAGAAAGATCTTTTTGGTGACAATTAAAAATATATAGAACTAATTAGTGAAAGTATTTTATTTTAGTATTAGATGAATTTTGAATTTTATGTATGGGATTTAGTGGCAAGTGTTCCTTTTAAAAATGAGTTTTTGACCAATAAATTAAAGGGACAATTGTCCCGGGCTCAAGAAAAAAAAAAATTAAAAACAAGAGATACTATTAATCAATTGCAAAACACTTTCCATAGATTTTATAACCATTTTTAATATTATCATTTGTTTTTAAAGCATTTCTTATCTTAAACTTGTTATTAAACTATGCCCATAGACCACTCATTGGAAAGAAAAAAAATTCAGGTTGGAACACTATTATTAGAAGACAGTTTCTTAGTGAAAAACCTATTTTATAGGCCCATCAAATATATATATATATATATATATTTTAATTTTATATAAGAATGAAGATCAATACATGTATATTTTGAAAATCTTTATACACATTTGCACTGCATATGATCCATATAAGTTGTGGTGATTGTTGATTGATTGATTAGATTCTGGAAGCACGTGATTTATCCATGAGGTTTTAGATCGAATCAGGTATGATCTAAACATTTTATTCCGCTGCAAGTTTTGTGATCTTTGATTTACAAAAAATTTGGAAAAGAATTTAGAAATGAAAAAGGAAAATGTAAGTGAAATGTGAATAAAATATAGTTACATTTCACTTAGTTTCACACGTCTTTTCCTTTTTTCTTTCCAAATCCATTCCCAAATCCCTCAACCAAACACAACATAAATGTTTAGTTCCATCAGTTTTCTACTTGAAAACCAAAGAGACTAATTCAAAGAATATTCCCAATTTTTTATCAGAAGAACTCTAATTTTGGGTTTATTTTCTCCATCAATTTTTTAGTCGCGGTCATACTTCCTCTTATCCTATGTTTGGATCTCAAATTTGTGAGGTAAGAAAAAGGAAGTGAAAATAGGAAATATGAAAAAAAAATATATTTTGCTTCGACTCATTCACTAGTCCCTTTTTCGTTTTTAACCTTTCCACAAATCCAATATCCAAATAGAGCTTTTAAGAACTTGGGCTATGCAAATAAAGTCTTGGACATGGAATCTTTATATAGGTGTTGCAGGCAATTGAACAAACAACAGAAGCAAACAAAGCAAAGATACGTTACAGGCAAAAAACAAAGCCAACCCAATTGCTGCATCCCAATAAATAGCATCAACTGCAACGACAAAACCCCAAGAAATAGGTAAAAAAACAACACCAAAATCCCCAGACCCAAAAAAAAAAAAAACAGCAATACCAAATCCCATGACCCATTGGCTTGTGGCAACAAGGCAAACTCAGCCTACACCCACGCATGTTTGCTCATATGTTGCCTCATTTTCTTATTTATATTTTTTCACTTTCAAGTTGAATAAATGCCTCTTCAAGAACTTTTGAACTGGTTTTATTAAGCTCAACTCAATGTGATTCTTCTAGAAAATCAAATAAAATCTCAAATATGTAAAAGCTCCATTCAATACCATAATTTCTTTGGACTCTTTATTTGGAAATTGTTCTACAGATGTTTCATGCTATATAAACTTTAAGAGCAGTACACTTCATTTGAAGCTATGAATTTTAATCTTTTACTCTGCAATTTTTTCACTGACATTCCCCTAATTTCCCTCTGTCCAAACACACATGCTCAGAATCCTTATTTTAAATGGCGTAGAAAGAAAACAGATCAAATAATAGAAAGTAAAGTTAATTGCAAAATATATGCAAATAAGCTACTTCAAACATAGTTTAAAATATGATTTCTATTGTAACAGCAGTAGACATATTTTCATCATAGATCATAAGAAGATAGAAATTATAGTACATGCATAGAAAGCTCCCATTATTGAGTATTGGGTGCTTATACTAAACCGTGGAAAAAAATCATGCATCAGACAATCCCTTTTGTTCTAACAACAACAACTAATAGTTCTATGCTCTCTTGCTCCGTATAGAGTATTGTAGGAAATAGAGAAAACACCAAATCCGTATTTTAAGAGTCAAAAACAAAAGAAGGATGAATTTGATAGTACATGTATATGAGTCCTCCATCAGCGGTCATTGCCAAAGTCTTCCTAGCGGTCAATTCAAGCAATTTTCAACCGGTCCATATGTAATCTGCACATTGCATATTTGTTCCATTCCACTTCAGGAGCATGTTCCTACTCATAGATTTTGAAACAAATCGATAAGAATATCAAAATTGAATTCAAAAAAACAAAAAAACATACATGCACTGAAAAACTTACAAATGCAGCAGGAAAGTTCCGGTTTTGAGGAAAATGGTTTCTTCCTTTGGCACTTCAATCTAAACATATAATAGTATAATTTTGTTAGAAGATTTTTAGTCAATGTAAGGATAGATATATAGAGAATCTCATAAAAATGGTAGGATTAAACTTTGTGATTCTTACATATAGCGACCCCAGTCTTTTAGTATAATTTTGTTAGAAGATTTTTAGTCAATGTAAGGATAGATATATAGAGAATCTCATAAAAATGGTAGGATTAAACGGGCGTGATATTACATATTTCCAACCCAAAAGTTTCCTGCAACCGCTACAGTTAACATCGGCAACTGTGTCAGTACACTGCATTCGATAATGTGCTTTTCCAGCAACATCCACATTGACACTGCAAAATACAGGATTAAAGTTGCCACCAAAGAAAATGTTGTACAGATTAGCAAGAAGATGATCAAATCGGTCACTGAATTTTAAAATTCTTGTTAATAGAAGTCTAAATCGCATTTGTTGTGATGATCACTAATCTTTAATCAGAATTCAGACCTATCTCTTTCCACCAAAGAAGTTTCATAGAATTGTATTAATGATGATAACTTACACCTCTTCAAAGATGCCTGCATTGATCATTATGTCCGCATTGATCATTATGTCCTCGAAAGCAGATTCAAAACAGTAACAAGAACACAGACTTGCTTTCTTTTCTTTTGTTTGTTTTTGTTTTTGTTTTTAAATAAAAAAATGAAGTTGAGAATTGCAAATAGTAACTGCTTGGTAAAAAGGAATGCAACCATTGTAATCTTACACTAGTTCAACCAATGTATTCCCCAAAACATGAACCGCCATATCCTTAAAGCAATATATACGTATAGATACACAGATTTTTCTTGCAACCTGTATATTTGTATATGTATATCCAGGTTGTGTTTGGATCTTAAATTTGTGAAGCGATTTGCAATAGGCAAATCACTTCCCTTTTCTCTTCCCTCTATAAATCCTTCCACAAATCCTACTTCCAAACACAACCCTTGGATATAATATCAAGAACCATGACCTCAAAAATATTCCAGTGGATCCTAAAAATACATGATTAGAATCAGTGGATTCTAAGAACTTTGAGAAGTTATGTATTGTTGGTTCAAAACACAAACAGATCCATCTTGGTCCCAAAAATTTCAGAATGTAGTTGTAACAAACAAGAACGTTTGAGAATTTCATAATCAAATAATATAGCGACATGTAACTTCAAGCCAAGGGCTTAATGTGTAAACGAGTTAGTGCTCTTTTGTTGTAACCAAGTGTTAACTTGGAAAGCTGTAAGCCCGTAGGGCATTTTGTTTTGATGTTAACATGTAATACCTATGTAATGGAACTCTAATGTATAAAAGAATGTGGCTAGTTCATATGTCCACGCATGTCGTATTTGATGGGTTTAATGTTATTATTTTGAGGGCGTTACAAATAAGCCTTGTACTACAACATTTCTTGAATAACATCATAAAAAGAATTGAACCCTCAAAATTCGAACAACTATAACAACAAAGACATTCAAATCTTGCAAGTTTAGCTGACTTCTGTTATTATTAACTAGTGCGTAGAGAGAGAGAGAGATTTTACTGGGATTCTAATCATAAAATCTTCATTCAAGGCAATGTGGGTATTGCATTGACGGGAGAGGAAGAAACGGGCATTTGGAATTTGGTGGAATGTAACCATCCGTGTATCTGCATACAACATGTTCTTTCCATCCCACATCAGAAGCTTGTTCCTGCTTGCAAATTTTGAATCAAATCCATAAGAGAATCAAAATTGAAGTATTAAAAAACAAAAAAATAGAGCACATAATTGGTGCATGGACTGTACTTTTCTGTGCACTAAGCAAAAAAAAGAAAAAATAGCCGTATTTATTTGTTTCAAAACTTACAACTGCAATAGGAATCTTCTGGGCTGAACTGCGTAGTTTCTCTGTGGCACTCTTACCTAAACATATAGTAGCATTTTGTAGGAAAATGATAAATATAGAATCTCAAACCAAAAAAAAAAAAAAAAAAAAAAGAACTTTTGTGATTCTTACATATTTCCAACCCAAAAGGCTGTTGCAACCGTTACAGGTAACATCAGCAACCAAGTTATTACCGTCAATTTGATAATGAAATGGGCCAGCAGCAGTCACATTCTGACTGCAAAACACGGGTGATGCTATGGTACATTTAGATGTACCATATATTTAGTTATGAACTTATATGATTTTATGTCATAACCAATATCATATTAGTCATAATCACTATCATATTGAGTCATAACTTAGTTATATTCAGTTACTTATTTATACAATATTATCTCATAACCAGGTCATAACTAAATTACTTAAATAATTTAACTCTCAAATAGGCATCCGGCTACACCGGTTAGAATGGGAAACAAAATTCAATCAGTCGTGTTTGGCCCTCTTGTTTGCTCTTCTCCTCCCTCTTCTCTTCCGCCATAGCTGAAGCTTCTAAGGACCACCAGCCTCGTCGGCGATCTGAGCTTCAGCCATGTCGACATCTTCTTCGTAAGCTCTTACTCTCTGGACGTCTCCACCATGGGTTTGTTCTAGTTGTTCTTCATCAATCGCAATGATCTCTGTTCTTCATTGATCTCGAGGCTAATCGAACTCGAACTCAATCTCTCTCGCTATTAGCTCTCATCTTGAGTTTGCAAATCGCAAATCCGAAATCGAGTTTGAATCAGATCAGATCTATCTTGCTCTTTATCTCAGGTACATTTTTCAGAAAATTAAAAAAATTCATGTATTGTCTTTCATATATTTTTTTCTTAGATTTCATTTGCTAATAAATGAATATATATATATATATATATGGTGGTTGCAAAAAAACAAATTTGTTAGATTTCATTTGAGTTGTAAACTAGTTTATATTCAGATTTTGAAGCTCGTTTAGTGTACATTTTCCTGTGGTGCTGTAATCGAAAGTTATATTTGAATTGTTGTCCTCTTGATCTGATCAACAGTTGGATTTGATATGTTATACAGAGAGTTTTTGTAAGTAATTTTATTGTCTGATTGCTTTGCAATTGTTAGATTGGTGATTGATTGCTCTATTATATTGGATGAGATTCATAGAGAAAGCTCATCTGCCTTTTGGCGACAGTTTTCTGTAGTATCCATGGTCACTAAGCTTCTGATCCACATGCAACTCCACAAAACTTTAGCATTTAGATTGGTACTTGTTTTTTGTATTTGTTCTGTTTTTTGAAATTTCTCGAGTGAAGTATTTGTTTCAAATGCTCTTCATTTTATAATTGAAACAGAAAAATAGTTTAAATGCCAAATTTGAGAGAAATATGGTTCATCTGATTAACCATTTTCGTAGTTCGCAATGAAATTAATAAGCTAGGAAACATACATCCTTAGTTCTTATCATACCTTTTCCTCTTCTTTTTTCAAGAAATAATAAATTATTTACCTTTTTGCTAGTTTGGTCATGTCTAATCTATTATCTTGCTACCTATGAGGATGTTTTTTGTTATTTAGGTTTCAAGATTGATGATTGAGGACTCTGGAGCTGTAAATGGGGTTAGTTTCATTATCTGGATTTCTTCAATGAAATGGATTTTCGAGCTTCGAAAAAGTAATTTAGATATTAGGAACCTGGGTGGAATCATTTAGGTTATATTGGCTGATGGGACAAAGGTGCATTCTTCAGTTGTTTTGTCAAATGCAACCCCTTACAAAACTTTTATGGTAATATTCCCTACCACTATTATTTGACTTGTAGAAGCGTGGCACCAACTTTGAATAAATTCATCAACCCAAATTCTGTGTGTTCCAAGATAGATTGTGGATGACAAGCAAACTTTTTGTAAAAAAATAAACTGATGTATTATTGATTGATATGTTTGTTGTATTGATGTGTTATATTACAAATCAGAGTAGCTCATTATATAGGAGAGGGTTTGGGTAGTAGGTGTGGTAGTAGGTGGTGGTAGGTGTAGGTAAATTCTAACAGTA